GTCATGCCAGGGTGGATTTTGAGCGACAAATCTTCGAGAACAACCAGGTCAGGACGGGTTGGGTACTTGAACTTGATATGACGGAATTCGATATCACCATGGAGCGTTTCAGGAGCCAACCCTTCGTCAGCATCAGGATCAATATCTGGCACTCGGTCAATTGTCGAATAAATTTTGTACGCAGCGCCACATGCACTCGAAACGGCCGACAAGTTTGGAGGCACTTGAAGCAGCGCTATAGAACCCATCATCATACCCATCAACACAACCATAACGTTAGGGCCATCGAATTCGCCCGTCTTGACCAGATGAGAGCCGAACCAGAAAGCGAGACCGTATGTCATGAACAGTATACTCATGAATAAACCAAAGCCAACACCCAGCACACAACCACGCTTGATGCCCATCTTGCGTGCCTTGACCAACTCCTTGTCGAATCGTTCGGCAAAACGCTCCTGCAATGAGAAACTGTAGACTGTGCGTAAACCGGCGAACACTTGCTCGGCGACAGAACCGGCGTCGGCATATGCGTTTTGCACCTTGAGCGTGTATTTCTTAATCATAATACCCATGGTTACACCAGTGCCAAGCAACAGTGGCATCGTTGCAAGCAAGACAAGCGACATCTTCCAGCCCTTGACGAACGCCACAACATAACCGCAAATGAATTGTGAGAGACACAGAACCAACATGCCAAACTTTTCAGAGATGCCGTCCTGTATCGTCTGCGTGTCAGAAGCCAAACGTGTTGTCAATGAGCCTTCTTCTGCTTTGTCGAACCAGCTCATGTCTTGTCGTAGGATAGCATGGAGATACAACATTCGAATACGTCGAGTTTGGTTTTCGCCAGTCATGATCCAGAAACTGTTTGCCATATATGCTGCTACGAGCACTGCTGATCCGAGGTACACCAGCGTCAGGATCAATGGACGTGTTTGGTCGAGCAAAATCGCGGTGTTGCTCAGTGCTGCAGACAGGCTACGCAAGAAGTCGCCGAAAATGACAATAGATACTGGTAGGATGGCGCCAGAGAATGCAGATCCAATCAGTGCAAAGGCGATCATGAACCGATCACGCTTAGTGCTGAACCTGAAGAGACCCAGCAGGGACACCGAGGGATTCTTTACCTTCTTCTTTCTCTTTTTTCCGTCGCTGTCATCGCTATTTACTTTGGTTGCTGTTGTTGCTTTGCTAATTTTTTGCTGTGATTTGAGGACTTTCAGTTGTTGTGGTTCTTTGTCTGTTGTTGTGTCGACCTTTTTGGTCAAGCTGCTCAAGGAAGCGAGCTCGGATTTGGATTCGTCGCTTTCCATCAAAAGCAATAATTATAGAAAATTGAATTGCAGTGAAAGAAGTGCAGGAGAAATATGGAGGAAGAGCGAGAAAACAAACGAAAAAACAAAATCTATCGGATCACACACACGGCGTTTTTATTCTCTTGTCTTTAAATAGACATCTTGGGAATTCGGCGCTCATCCCGCCTTCCGCATATTTTCCTCTCATATATCACAGTGCTTCTGGGTCTTCCACTCTATATATTTGCCTATAAAGTAGGGGCTCAATGTTGCATAGTTGAGGTACATATTTTCTTATTTCTAAACGGAACGAATGCTCGTAAAAAGTCATGATTTTGTCAAAAAATTTGAGTGGAAGACCTAAAACTGGAGACCCAGCTGCACAAGTCATGGTCATTCATACACGCCTGTGTGTTACCCATTAAGTCATTCGAGAAAAATAACTATGCAGGCAGCAGTGATTGATATCTGTTAGCCCAAGCAGCCGTTGTACTGCAATTGCACAGAGTATCGCCTTCTCGGATAAATAGATAGCGAGCCTTCTAGCTTTCACAGCCGGATACAAGCTAATTTGAGCTGCCAAATATGGGCAAAATATCTTTTCTGGGTTTTCCTTGAATGTACCTCCGCTGGTACGGAAAATGGTCAAACATTCCCCGTAGTTCGGACCAAACAGCTTTCTCCAAAAAGCGTTTCCTTCTTCTGCAATAATGAATCACACATTTATAACAGAGACCTTTAAGCTGTCATGATGAATCGAAAGATATGCAATATATGCAACCAATGCGTTTATGCTGCATAACTCATCGTCGCTGCGCAGTCTTGCTGCTGCTGCGGAACTATCGCATTCAGGATGATATAGTTGTTTTACACATAGCACACACAAGGCAGGGGAAATCCTGGGAAATGCAGTATCACTAAAGTACTAATCTACAAATTTTACTTTGCTTTTCGCTGATCTAGACTTATTGGCTGTATTCTCTCTACTATACGCCGCACCTCCGTGTATTTTGGCGACAAGTCCGTTCCGATACTCTGCGCGACATGAAAGGACGATTGGGCGTTGGTGAAGTCAGACAACATGTAGATACAATCGTCCCCGAACTTTGTATATTTGTGTGCCACAAGACACACGGTGAGAGTTTACGATATAGGAAAGCACGCGTTCGTATATAGCTTGCTTTCGATCAGCTTTTCATACTATCTATTACTTGTCTAGAAACGGTGCTCTGTTTTAAACGACACTCACATATAGCAAATACTTGGAGCATGCTGCGGTTCTATAAGCTAGTCGTTATAGCGTTTTTTACCGTGATAGAAGCATATGATGAGTGCTCTACTTTCTTTAAACAGAAGCTGCATATCGACCGCATAACACTCTAAAATGTATACCATTGATTGTGGTGTGTGATTGTACTACCTTGAGTCATTCCTACGAATCAACCGAAAGAAGAGAACCGCGTGGAGTTACCCAAAAAGAACGGAATTGATCGCCGAAATCGGGGTTTTCTACCCGTCTGTCAAAGAAAGCAAATACACTGTACTAGGTAAACGCGGAAATAAACATGGCGCTTAGTTATTGATACGTACTCGGCGATAACTATTGGACATATCTGCGGGTACATAAAGAAAAGACGTTCAATAAACTTATCTATACATCATCATTACGCCGAACGAAATTCTTGCCCAGCGCAACTGAGCACACAAATCGGCTAACTCGGATGGCGCTATTACGGAATACACATTTAGCGAGAATATCCCTGACAGCGTTGGCAGTGCATACATAGTTCTCCTGATAGTTGGCTCGGGAAGCTTGTTTTAAAAGCATTATTTAGTTCATGCACCTTGCATACTTCCACTACCTGGTATGTATTTTGTTTCCAACGGTGGTGGTGGTAAACAGTCCCAGTGTCTCCGATATATTACGTCTGTAATATCCACTACTTCCTCGTACCATGCGTTTTTGTACAGATTATATGACGCATGGCTTCAATTTCGAGCATGTTGTTAAAGGGTGCTAGTATATAGAGGGTTCAAGGGTAAGAAAGCACTCATCATTGCCTCTGAGAATTAAGGAGACTGGATTCGTATCTGCATGCACTTCAATTTTCGAGCATGTTGTTGAAGGGTGCTAATATATGGAGGGTTCAAGGGTAAGAAAGCACTCATCATTGCCGCTGAGAATTAAGGAGACTGGATTCGTATCTGCATGCACTCCGGGTCTTATATAAAGTTTCTGTACCAAAAATTATGTATAACAAGTCATTGGTTGTCTTCTATCCTACAACGAGTTGAGCAAGTTTAAACCGGCGCCGTCGTTCATCAAATCATATGACGCAAAAAAAGAAACAACCTCTCACCGGTCAAAAACTTCTCCTACGATTTTTCTTTTACTGCTCGATGGTTTCTATGCGTGCCTGTAATTTTACGTGGTTCATGCAGCCAATTTTGCGTATGCTACTTAGACGAAAGCAGGATGTATTCACCTGTGGTATGATAGAAAACGTTCAAGGGGACAATGACAACGAAAAAAGCGATACCACCTTCCTTGAAAACTACTTTGCTCAGCTCTCGAAAAGTTGTCTCGAGTGATATGAGCGAGTCACTGGGTGGTACTGGCCTACCGGAATGGTATCGTTGTATTTTATTCTGCATTTACAGCATATCTCCATTTTTTGCACTGTAAGTCTCATCCGACACTTCAAAATTACATTCTATGCGCCACTTGTATGCGTTTGGTTCTTCAATGTATGTACATACATGAATTTTCCTTGACGACCTATGCCATGCACTTGAACACGTTGTGTCGCCATGAAAACTTCACATTAGTTGATTTTTTTTATCGCAACAGAAGACATAGCCAAACGACCCTTTCACCACCGGCCTTCGGCTCCAGCCCACCTGGTGTCGAACAGCCAGATGAGAAGTGTCAAAAAGATTTAATTTTATTTTGTCGCTTTGAAGTGATCTGCGAAATAAAGATTCACATGTATATGGCTTTATATACCCTGCATGCCACGTTTAAGAACAAGACGACTATATTTTTGTCTTGATATTGTCATACATAGGATAGAGGAAAACGTCAAAAATGTTTATTGTTCAAAAAGCATCTACATCAATGCAAGCTCGCCCATTAATTCCATCATTTCGTCTGTATGGTCTTGATCTCTTTTCTTATCATCTACTACTTTCTGCTGATGGCTATTATACATTCTTTTGAGATTCGCCAAAACCGAATCCGATGCAGCAGTATCATCCTTCTTGTCGCGTGGGGCTGCTGCAATACCAGGATTGTAAGAGCCTTGAGATGATGTCGATGGCTCTTGTTGTGCTGCATCCATCGTATCTTTTTTGGATGTCTGTTTGAAAATATCATGCAACCAAAATGATCCTTTGTTTGTATCGATCAAAGATTTTTCGTTCAAGCTAGAGTAAAGCTCCAACAGGGTGGTCGGTGCTGCGAAATGTCTGGCTTTATGCTTTTGTGCCTTGTGTTTTTTTACGCTAGACCTGCGCTTCCTGCCATCAATGTTGTCCCGTCGGTTATAGTATATGTGCTGGCGTTTTGGCTTTGGCTCATCCATCGGTTCAAAGATATATTATCAAGAAGAAAACATATTAACATGAATGATCATTGAAAACGAAAGTTACTGGCTCAGTTGTCTCCATCATCTGATAGCATTCCAGACCCTTGCAAAAACAAGACTTAACACCAGCGCTCTGCCTTTTTTTTGAAGCACAAAGAATCATGATAACTACTGCAACAACGCGTCTGTCGGAAACTCCATAACTCAAGAATTAGTATCATGCAATCATTGTTATAATCGGCGATAAAGGATAGTTAAAGCACTGCTACGCCGTGATATGGCATTTATCACGCCGCATGAGTGATGTTTGTCACGGTATGGTCGCGAGAAGAAACGGCAAGGTGCAATATATCAAATCAATTTACATCACATGACTGATATACGAGGCACACCCACGGACTGATAAATTCTTGTCACAGCATGTATTAATAAAAGACACAAGCGTTGCATAATCTCGTTCATACTTTTACGCACAACGCTCTCATCATTTGTCATTTTCTTTTTCCTACGCAAACAACGTTTCACCTAGATCAAGGCCAATGGCACCGTCATATTCCCCTACTCCTCGTTCACCTTCTGGAGCTAATACGTTTAAGAATTATTTTACTGATTAACTTCATGTCGATACGGCATTTCTCCTATGTTACGACTACCTACCATTTGCTTCAGCACGTGCAAGCATCTTCCTGATTTCTGGCAGGTAACGCAAAGTAGTAGTTCCAGAACCGCCTCTTGAGCCAGGTTTGGACCAGTCGGTCATGTTCGCAAACAGTTGCACGCCGTCTGTTCTGATCATACGCAACGTAAACCGCGGTGTACCAGGTTCTACGGCACCCTCGAGGGTCTCATTGATAAACTTTTCGTATCCACGCTGTTTTGTCCTTAAAGCACCGTCTTGCAACTTGGTAGTACCATGCCCCAAATCAACAAGGAAAGAATATGGGTCATTGGAACGGACAGCCCGACGATTCTGCTGGCCATGGTGGTCTCTTGCATATTGGATCTTTTCTTCTTCTTGTAAATTAAAATATCTGCGATATCCCTCTTGCAATCGTACACGAGCATCATTCACACTGTCTCTCGCTACATAACATTTTGTAGAAGTCAAAATTCGTCAGTAAAAAGTTTTATAATTTTGCTCACATTTCACCGAAATCACCCCAACGTACCAGCTTGCAGTCGAGCCCTGTTGTCAATGTTTGTTTCTGCTCCCATAAGCGCATGCAGATTCATGTATATCGGCGCAGCAAAATATTCAAGGTGGTCAAATATGTTACGAATAAACGTTGATGGAAGTTGTACGGGGATTGTCTTGGTTGCAGCAGAAGGGCACGCAGCGAATGATAAAGTGTCAGGTAAACGCTCGAGCATGGCATTTTGCATCGAAAGAAGATGATGAGTTTGGCTACTTGAAGCCACAACGGGTACTGGGTCATCGTCGGCGCCGTTGCTGTCGCCGTTGTTACCACGATTGCTACCGCCACTCGGATCTTCTTCAGCGCTGTCGTCATCAGTTTCGACTGCATTATCAAGTGCAGTATCACGCTGGATTTCTTCAATGGTACGCTTGAGACCACCAGCCTTTTTTGACGCGGATCTCGTCACTGGAGGGGCAGGGTGTGACGGTCCAGCTTGCGGTGGCGACGAAGGAGGTTGATCCTGTTGACCAGCAGCAACGACTTGAGATCGATCATCACGAGGACGCTTGATCACCAAACAGTCAAATATGTCTAAAGGCCCTTGATCTTGATCTTGGTCAGCTAGCCGAACTCCAATTAGGCGACCTGTCACTTTTTGTAAAAACAGGCGTTCCTCAGTGATAAACGTCTCCAAAGCTTGTCGATTTTCTTCCGTGGCTTCTTGTGCGAGCGATTCAGCAACCTTTAAACATTTCGACAAATTGATTACAGACTCCATTTTTTCATTGCTTCTTAGTGGTATGTGCCAAATACGAGAGTAGATATACTCCGGGAGATCTTCACGTATGGGGAAATTAGCTGGTACTGTTGCTGCTCTCTTGAGGAGCAAGTCGATTCGCTCGTCGTTGAGCTCAACAGGATTCTTGCGAAGGTTCTTTCGCTGCTGCACTAACCAGGACCGCACTTGGTTCCGCACATCTTGGGCTAAAGCTGCGTACTGCTCTTGATGTTGGGCGTCCACCTGTTCGTTACGAAGCCAAGATAAAACATATGCTCGAAACCAGTTTTCCAAGGGCCAACCTCTCGAGACACGGGCCAGAGAAGCCATACGTGCTTTAAGATACTTGATACTGTTGTCAGCAAAGCCTTGGACCACAGTTTGTCTGAACATCCGATCAAGTTCGTTTGAAATTGGTCTGATGAACTCAGAGCGAAACTTGGTCGAAAGTAGCAGGGGCTGCTCGACTTCTTGTTCACCATAGTACAGAAGCCACTTTTGTCTAGCGTACAGTATGATCTCGCGGAACTGTGGATTTGCAGACAGGCGACCAGTCAAAGATTCAGTTTTCAAAATATCATCTGGTGATTCGAGCAAGCGAAGCGGGCTGTTTTCGGCATTATACTCTGGAACATCTGGAATCACCTGTAACTGTTAGGCTGCAGCGGTGACAGGGTCATAGTGGACTGGCGGCAGTCTTAAAAACGGAGCAAGTCCAACGATATTCACCCGTTGAGTATTATTCATCGCGCAATGCAAAAGGTTAAACCACGTTACACTTGAGTTGTCAGCGAAAAGCGGTCGGAAAGCTTGAGCTTTTGGGCCAGCTGGTAATGCATGCGCGTATCGAATAGCAAGATTGACTATTTGTAAGGTGATTTGTCGAACCAAAGATAATTCTTGCGCTTCTCTTCCCAGAATGTCCGCCATGAGCCTTGCTTCCATTTCTGCTTCACGTTGCAGCTGGACTGGTTCTCCTGGCTCTCCTTGCTTGCGACGAACGGCAGCAGATAACAGTGATGAATACAGACCCATCGACCAAGTGGTGACTGCGCGGTTTTTCTGATATACAGTTTGCTCTTCGTGTGTTTGCAGGTTTGTCACTCTGACGCTGCTAAATTGTCCACCACCTCGAACGCCTTGCCCTTGGCCGCTGCCCGTTCTTCGCGTCTTGATTCTTCTTATTTTGGGCTTAATTTTTTTGGGGCGCTTGGGAAGGTCATCAGTTTTTTCAGGTGTGGTTTGATCCGATGTCACGCAACGCACGTTTGGAACGAAGGTGTAAAGACTGCCCAAAAATGGAGGTTGTCCCCGAGGTACATGAGGGTTACGATAAGGTGCTGCTGGCTCTGGGGGACGGAAAAGAGCAGTATATTCCGGTATACGTTCTTCAAATTCCAACTGATTAGGTGTCGGTCCTGCATGTTGTTCTGGGAGCAGCATTGGTGACAAGCAGAATTGGTATAAGGCAAGACGCATTTCTTGTCTGACGAAGAAAGGTACGGTAAACAGATCAAGCAGATTCTCAAACATCTCATCTGGCCTCGTTTCGAGAGAATTTGGTCCTTGGTCATCGATAATTCTGATCAAAGTAGAACGCATAACACCAAAGCGTATGCCGCTCAGATGCATGGAGTAATCATTGCCTCCCGAGGCAGCCAACACAGCAAGACGGCGCTCCGCCATATCCATATTATCTTCATCTTCATTACGGAGTTGTAGGTTTTGCAGTACACGCGTCTTAGTTGTCATTTCTTCTACCCTGAGTGTTCCCCAGTCAACCTTCATGATGCGCAGCGTATCAAGGCAGCCGCCATAAGCAAAGAGATCACTGTCAGGTGAGAATATCGCCACCTGATTTGCGGGAAAGGCATTGGCAAGTGCGACAACTGCGCCGTCGGCTTCATACGTTGCTTGATGGTATGTAAACAATCGCGTGTTGTTTCGACTATACTCCTCCGCACCAGCCATCTGGAGAACCTGTTTGATAGATAAAAAAAATACTTAAATCTATGATTTTCACTCTGGTTAATATTTGATACTTACACGTATGATTCCCTGTTTAATATCGGTGGAAAAGCGAACCCATTCTCTCGCAGCTCTCCTGTACTTGCTGCTGTGGACACCCTCAGAAGGACGGATAAATGCTTCCTTCGCTTTTCGAAAATGGCTCTTGCTATATTCATCGCGCTGGGCATGCAATCTCGCTTTCAGTGGAAAGGCGTCGCCGTCCATGACAAATACCACTTGGTTTTGATTGTTTGCCAATTTACTCGCCTTTTCGATGATGCCAAGAGTGATACGAATAAACATGCCATTTGTTTCTTCTTCTGTGGGATGGTCTACAGTGATTTGAAATGGTAAGAAAACTACAACATACATTGTATAACACCCGTAAAAACATACTTTTCAAGTGCAAAATGTGCAAAATATCGGCGCATGTTGTCGCAAGTCTTCAAAAAAGACGCATGCAAAGTCGATAAAAACTCGCGTTATCCCCTTTTCGATAAGGAGATTAAAAGCATTATCGGCTGTTTGGAAACAATCGAGCCGCTTAGCGAGCGGATGGAAGCCCTAAGTATGGTTCATATTACGATGCGTTAGATACACAAACGTTTGCCAAGAGTTGAGTTATTAACGTCACCGTACCAGAAGTCCCATAATGATGATTGCCGCAGGTGCATTTTTTTTGCCCAGCGAGCACCATGTCCATGACACCGGTGTTCAGTATACTGTGAAAAAGAATGAGATATATGGTCGACAAGGATTGAATGGTAGATGGCTACACGACAGAAAGCTCGCTGCTGGCATGGATGTACTGGAAGCGCGACTTATGGCTGGTAGCAAGAAATCGAACCTTGCTAAGTTCATGCTATACGTGCGTGCATGGCAGACTGACAATGTAGGCATCAATCTCTGGCAGTTCTATTCTCAGCGTTCGGTTCGGCGCAAAGCTTGGGACACCCGCATTTCCATGGATTCTGCAATAAACAAGGCCACGGACACAATTCTGAATATGATCAAAGGTCCACCACCACAACGATTTCCAAGCGACCATCATGCAATTACGGCCGATGACAAGAGAACCCGTCGAAAACGTAGGAGACGAAGGAGGTGTGAATGGAACAAGGAACAGTGGGAATCCGAACGGCCCGTTCTGCTCGGTTTTGGTGCAGACGCACTCACTACTGGCGATCATCGAAGAGGCTCACGGCCCGCTTTGGATGCTAAGCTAGCCACAAGGTTACTCATTCGAGCGAAAAGCAAAAAGGGACGTCGCTTTGTACCTGTCCGCATTGACGAATACGGTACATCAAAGTTCTGCCCGCGCTGTGCCATGTTTGGACGTGTAACTGAGTTACGTTTACTCCGGCGGCCACCTCCTCTTCGCCATGCCCTCAATATGGACCAACTCAACGATCTTGGTGAAGACGAAGTCATCCGCATCAAGGTTTGTCCACAATGCCAGCAAGAAGGCCATGGTGTGTTTCATCGAGACGGTGCCTCAGGTCATTGTCAGTCAACAATTGCGATGGCAATGCTCGAACACGGCCAACGGCCAGGTCAGTTCATTCGCCCATCACGCAAGATCCCAAACAATTAGACCGTCTTCGTCAGGACGGTCGGGTTTACACCCGTGGCTTGCTAGTGGTAAGTAATAAAATTATTGTGTGCATATTGTGGCGCGAATATTCGTTGCTAATTATGGAACCTCCAGACATAGTCACACAGCCCATCAAATAGATATGTATCTGCTGTTGATCATTGCATGTCCACTACCGCAGTGACGGTGCGGATTGGAGCTTTCTGTAGAAAAACGTAAAGTAAAGACTTATCAAGAATTTTTTTTCGCTGCTCCCTCGTTGAAGCTTGTCGTTCGCTTCTTGCAGCTTGAGACGGGATGGTTTTTGGAGGCTTGTAGCCACAAAGGATGAGACACTGTCTTTAGTCAACCGTTACTTAAGAGAAAATTCTGTGTGCATGATTTCCATATGCTCCTTGTTGTGAATCAAGAAAATTGTACAGCTTATTAATGAGTTTTTTCCACTAATTTGTGCTGATCAAATAAGCACATCCCATCGGCAACAATGGAGGTGCAAACGGAATTCGCCTTTAGTAAGCTTGATGACAGAGCTAAACAGCCGCTGCTGTTTGAGAAATTGAAGTCGCTGTAAGAAACATTAGAGATAAGCGTTCATGTTTCAAGGCATAGTGATATACTCAATGGAGGTGAAAGGCATGATGATAATAGACGCGAAAAAGAAACGGAAAGAAGTAAATTACAATGCAAACAACCCAGCTCCCGACAGCGGCTAATTTAGTTACCGAAGCTCGGTTCTTTTGTCAGCTACTTTTTGGCTTAACCTTCAACAACCACAACATAATCGTTCTGTTCTTGTTGCGTCGACCATGCTCCGGTGTCTGTCTTTGACCAGCTCTCGATGGGCATTAAGGAGCAGTGCTGTTTCCAGCACTACTCAACGACTATTACGACCGCGCATCGTGCCACCAGGTCAATTGCCACCTTCGCGATCGCTGGGCGATCGCATGCCATTCTCGGTCTCCACGGCAGTACGACAACAGATCGACAAGGCATCAAAAGCAACAACTGAAGCAGCTGCCAAAGCTGAAAAGGAAGCTGCTGATAAGGCAGCCAAAAGCAAAAAAAAGGCTGCCGAAACAAAAGATATCAAGCAACTTTTCCAACTCGCTAAACCTGAGGCAAAGAGTATTTCTGGTATGTTTTATTGCTATGATGCTTTTATTTCTCGGTTATTGGGAAGGAAAACCGTCATTGTGTAAGCTGTTTTTCCACAGCAAGAACTGACAGTGATATCTTTTTTCAACAAAAAAAAAGCTGCCATTGCCTTATTAGTGATTTCGTCTTCGGTTACTATGGTAAAAGGGAAATGGAGGAATAGTTGTGCTGTTGGGTACAACAATGTATTAAAAAACGATGGTATATCTAGTCTGTTCCATTTTCAATGGGCAAAATCATCGATATCGTTACGCATCCTGAAGTCAAGGAGTATATGGGCTTCACGATGCCTCAATTTATGGGTGCCTTGTCCGCCGTGTTTATTGTGGGTGCATTGGCCAACAGCGGTCGTGTACTCTTATTCCGGTTAGCAGGAGAGCGGATCATTCAGCGCTTACGAAACAACCTATACCGGAATATTCTGGGTCAAGACATGGCGTTCTTTGATAAGAATCGAACGGGTGAACTTATTTCTCGCTTATCGGTCGATACTGCCATTGTTGGCAAAAGTATTACTGGCAATGTCAGTGATGGGTTAAGGTGGGATCCTTACTTTATATCATCGGTATCTCATGTGATCTAATACTGACTGAATATCTGTTGCTGCTATGTCACAGAGCGTTAGCTACTGCAATCGTAGGCAGCTCCATGATGCTGTGGGTCAGGTAACACTTAAACGAAAAAATCAAAGATACGATGTAAAGGTCCAACTAACTACTTTCCTGAATTTTGTATAGTCCAAAACTGACAGCAGTGATGATGATTGTGGTCCCTCCTGTGAGCATTTTCGGTGTTATATATGGTCGCTATGTCAAGACGCTGTCGCGAAAAACGCAAACAGCACTGAGTGAGATTACCAAACTCGGCGAAGAGCGGATAAGCAGCATCCGTACGGTGCAAGCTTTCGCAAAGGAGAATGTAGAGGGCAAACGCTACCATCAAAAGGTATTGGGCGTTTATGATCTGGCCCGAAAGGAGGCTATTGCAAGTGCGGTATTCTTTGGTGGTGCAGGTCTTTCTGGCAACTTGGCAATTCTGGCAGTATTATGGTATGGTGGCCACATGGTGATGAATGATGCTATTACCATTGGTCAACTGGCATCTTTCATGTTATACACTGCCTACGTTGGCACTTCTTTGGGAGGTACGATGTCAATCTATTTAATTATTGATATGGGTCGAAAAGTGAAAATAAGCAAAAATTGAATGTAAACTTGTGGTGTATCATACAGGTTTAACGTCGTTTTACTCGGAAATTATGAAGGGCGCTGGTGCAGCTGAGCGCCTATTCGAATTACAGAATAAGCAGAGTGCTTTTCAGCTTGACAGTAAGTATAGTGGGCTAGCTAGTAATACCTACACCACGGGATTGAAGTTACTGATTCGGTTTTACTACATTTAGGCGGCAAGATTCTGGATACGTTACAGGGCAAGATCCGCTTTGAAAACGTGTTCTTCACATACCCCACTCGACCACACTCTCCTATCTTTAAAGATCTTTCGCTAACCATCCAACCGGGAACTGGTAAGTTTTATCAATTTAAACTATTTTTATTGATCTTACTGTTATAGAAAGAGGAGACTGACGCCTGAGGTCCGCAAAACAAACTACAGTAATTGCTATTGTTGGTTCATCTGGCTCTGGAAAATCAACTATTGGATCGTTGTTATTACGCTACTATGATGCGGACAAGGGATCTATCTACATTGACGATGAAAACCTCAAAGACATCAACTTGCACTGGTGGCGCGAAAACGTTGGTGTGGTATCGCAAGAACCTGTCCTTTTCGCTGGCACCATCCGTGACAATATCGCTTACGCCAAAGAAAGTGCGACCATTGACGAAATCAAAGAAGCTGCCACCAAAGCCAACTGTGCCTCGTTCATTGAATCCTTCCATGACAAATATGACACTGTTGTGGGTGAACGCGGTGTCAGCCTGAGCGGTGGTCAGAAGCAGCGTATCGCTATTGCTCGTGCATTGCTCAAGAATCCGTCAATTCTTGTTCTGGTAAAACATAAACACAACTGACATCTGCTAGATGATATAAAGAGGAGGGCTAACATAATGATATAGGATGAAGCCACAAGTGCTCTGGATAGTGAATCAGAAGTCTTAGTGCAAGATGCCTTGAACCATCTAATGCAAGGAAGAACAGTTGTTACAATCGCTCATCGTCTTTCCACGATTCGCTCGGCCGACCTTGTCATGTGTCTTGAAAACGGTGGTGTTGCAGAAATGGGCACCTATTACGACTTGCTGAATAAGAAGGATGGTGTTTTCCGAAAGCTGGTTGAGCTTCAATCGCTTGGAGGAGACCCCTCGCAACAAAAGCGCCATCACCGTGACGAGCAGCAGCATGACAATAATGATAACGACTATAACGCTGAACGAAACGATCACAACCGATACTGATTGATGAAAAATAGCCTCACCACATACACACGCTCGTCCTAAACTTCCAGCTTCTCTCGCTTTCTCCACTCCACACATGCCTCCTACATATACATACACACTTCAACATCTATATACAGCAGACACTTTGTTACATTACTATAAATATAATCTTTATAGAGAGTTTTCTTTCTGTTTTACCTCATCAAAGCAAGTTCCATCCCACATTTGATATGTATGCTTTTTTATTATTATGCGCCTTTTAAAGATCTGAAATAAACGGATTCCAGATCATAAATGGTTGTTTGTAACTCTGCACGCATTTTAAAGACTGTATCTTTAATCTCATATCTTTGCGTTTCCAGTGCCTCTGTTCGTTGCTTTGTAAGTTGTGATAATAATGCAGTGTCGTTTAGTAGCAAGTGTTGTTTCAGTTCCGTGATCAGGCCCAATAATGATTCAGCCGAGCGTACCTTTTTTGTTGTCGTTGTTAGTTCACATTGAATACCGAATATCGCAAGGATAAACATAAAAAGATACTTACTATTTGGGCACTTTGACTTTCTATTTGATATCCTTCCTCAGCTACGCGAAACTTGTCCTTATCTTTGTTCTATTTCATCGGAATGGCGCTTTTAGTAAATTGCTCCAGATCTATCGCAGCACACGGTCAGTCATACTTCGCCAACTCGAACAATGTCGGTAAAGCAATCCACTAATTTGGCTATATCGTCGTCAATGCGTTTATTATATTGGTCTTCAGCGTTCACCAGTGTTTGTCGTGCACCTGTCGTTCCTTTGTTCGCGGCTGCCATGGTATAGTTTATATAGAAAAAAGTAAGAGAGAAAAACGAACGTACGTGTGTGCAACACATGCCGAATGACTCCGCAACACAATATTGAAACAGGCTCCGGCTGCGCTTAACCTCTTTTTCCTGCTTGGCTTCGCTTTGCAACTGACCTACTCACACACCCTTTCCTAACCAACAGCATTGAACCCCCTAAAAAATCATGGGTCAAACATTGTCTGAACCTATCACCACCAAGGAATCCACCGAAGGCGGAGATGCACGCGTCAAGTATGGTGCATCGTCTATGCAAGGATGGAGAATCAGTACGCCTTTTTTTCTAACGTGATTGACAAAAGAAAGGAAAGGGGGGGGAGTCTTAAAGGAAACAGTGTCATCTTGAACGCGCGTATAGACTTATGAACAATTGCACACTTCTTTCTATAAGATATGGAAGATGCCCATACGACGATTCCCGAGTACAAAAACACGGGTGCTAGCTTCTTTGCAGTATTTGACGGACACGGAGGTATTATATTATTCAGTAGATACGGATTATATCATAATAACATTGCTTTTGCTGCCACATTTACTCATTGATTCTTTGTAGGCTCTGCCGTGGCAAAATACAGTGGTGAGCATCTGCATAATTTGGTGTTTGATTCCAAGTTTTATCAGCAAGGCGACTACCGCGAGGCGTTAAGAAGTAGTTTCTTGGGGATCGATGAGGCGCTTCGTAAAGGTAAAAAGGATTGCCTCAATTGGTGTGAAGCGGGGGTAATAATGATATGCTATGATGTATTCTCTCATGATGGAGAGGATAAAGGAGTAGGAGGAATGGCGAGGATATGCTAGTAATAACGGTGATTGCTGTTCCTCTTGTTGTTAGATCCGGTCTACGAGAACGAGACATCGGGTTGTACCGCTGTAGCCGCGCTGCTGACAAAAGATAACGTTCTTTATGTGGTATGTGTTTCATGGGTAGCCACGCGCGCGTGTGTGTGCGTGTGTGTTCGTGTGCGTGTGGCTCCGTCTCGCCTCTTTTGTGGATGTATGCGCGGGTTACTCTAGTTGACTGAAAAAGGAAATCCACGTTTCGTTGTCTTAGAGCAATGCAGGTGATTCCCGTGCCATCATCAGTACCAACGGTCGCGCTATTGCCCTTTCTCAAGACCACAAGCCGGGCAATGAGAAGGAAATCGCTCGTATCGAAAAGGCGGGTGGGCATGTAGAATTCGGTCGTGTCAATGGTAAATACAAATAGGATACTGCGGCCGGGGCAAAGTGGATGTAAAGAAAGGATGTTGTTGTCTCACTCTTTTTCTATTGCACGACATAGGTAATCTTGCATTATCTCGCGCGCTTGGTGATTTTGAGTTCAAGCGAAGACAGGATCTCCCTGCAGAAGAACAGGTCGTCAGCGGTAAAACAAACAGAAGATGAAAGAGTGAGGATAAACTTTACGATAGAAAGATGCTTACTGTGCGTACGGTGTTTCTTTAAATTTAGCCGAACCCGATGTTACTGAGCATCGGTTAATACCACAAGACGAATTCGCCGTCATTGCTTGTGATGGTAACGATTAGAAAAGATTAACAATTGAAAATTATTCTGTGTATACATATTTGGATGTGGGATACTAAACGGTAATACTCTTATCACTACAGGTATCTGGGACTGTATGACCAACCAGCAAGTAGCAGACTTCATACGTACCAAAATTAAGGAAAAGGTCGACCTGAAAACGATTTGTGAAAACCTCATGGACAAATGTCTTGCAGAACACAGCGATTTCGGTGGTGTTGGCTGTGATAACATGACCGTTATCATCGCCGCATTCCTGCAGGGCAAAACGATCGACGATTGGTACCAGGCTGTGGGTGACAAGGTCCCTGAACCTACAGGCGTTGTGCTTAAAGAAGACGGTGAACCTGAATTGAAGAAGCCTAGACAGCAGCAACCGAACAATGAAGAAGAGAAGAATAACACGACTGCATCTAGTAACAGCAAGGCTTAATAAGTCTTTGTACGACTTATTCTCTCTCTCTCTCTCTGGCTCTCTCTCTCTCCTCTTTTTTCTCTTTTCAGTTTGCATAAATCAATATATATACAGGCATGCACCACAATCTCACAAAAACATATGGCTGAACAGCAACCACGTAACACTTCGGACACAAGCACTTATATACACATAGATATTTCCATGCTGGACAATATCTTCTGCCCTTTAACACCCTCCATCGCTCTTGTTCTCTCTCTCTCTCTCTCTCTCTCTCTTAACCTGTCTCCATTTACCGTTACTCGAATTGACTTGAAACAAAAAATAACAAAGAAAATGAATCGAATATGTTATGAAATTACAGGGAATGGTATAAAAAAAACAATGTATGAAAAAACACTATACTACAACAAGCAGGGTAAATTTTGTTTATTCTTCCTTCTGGCTTGTAATATCAGCCATTATGCTCCAATTGGCACTGGTCATTGCAACCTTTTGTGCGGACGCGGGCTTCTTGCCCTTGTATTCCTCAGGTGATATGGGACCCGGGCTTGTGCTTTCCGTAGCGATCGAGTGTTCGTCTTCGGAATCGTGATGTGCCAACTTGCTGACTCGACTGAGCTCTGGTAAGCTAATTTCAGATACAGCGTCTGTTGAAGAAACACCAGTCAACTTGAAGTCGGCTGGCATCTCTTGATCTTCAAGGGGTGGCTGGATGTATTCTGACGGAGACAATTCCTTGGCTTCATCATAAGTGCGATCATTTTCATCGACTTGTACGCCTGGAAGTTCGGGTGTGCTCAGCCAGTTCTTGAGACGCAAGTTGCGGGCAGTGGCGGTGCTGATGCCGTTGAGCGCCTTATCGTCAACCAGGGATGGATCACGGGGCTGAATATAGTCGGATGGGATGTCAGAAGCGGCATCTTGATATGAGGATTGCGAAGCTGCTTGAACACCAGGTAATATGCTACTGTTGAGCCAGTTCTTGTGCTTGACTTCGTCATCAGTCAATCCGTTCAATGGGAAAGGTGCACGATATTGTTCAAGGTCAATCTCCATTTCCTTGGGCTTCGGTTCAGGCTTGGCAGACTCGTAGATCGTCTTAAATGATTCAGCATCAGCACCCGACAGAGATGCGACGTTCAACCAGTTCTTGAGCGGCTTTTTGATCTTCTTCTGCGAAATACCAGAGGCCAGCACACCCACTTTGTCGTGGTCATCCTTCGGCCGCGGCTCGATATAGTCTTTAGGCAAAGTTTCACCGGGTGCTTCATACACGTTATCGTTGGAGACGACGCCGGGGAGTGCGCCGTTGTTGAGCCAGTTCTTGATCGCACGTTCTTCCATATCCTTTGCATGAACACCCGACAGCGGGAATGCGCGACGGTACTGCTGGAGATCGACGTGTTCCTGGACCTCCTCCGGCAATTCGATTGGATCCTCGTAGAGCGATGACTCCTGTTTGAAGACGCCCTGTATACTCCCAATGTTCAAGTGGTTCTTGAGTTTAGCTGCAGGATGGTTTGAAGACAAACCGGACAAAGAGATGGCCGTTGCTTCAAATGGCCATTCGATATTATTCTTACTTGGGTATGGGTCCTTGACAATCGGTAGCTCTGCGACAAATACTTCTTGCTCGTCTGAAGATACTACGCCGCACAACTCAACTCTCTCAACGGGCGGAATAGATCCTTCGAAGCCCATGGAGTCACGCCATTGATAGACAAACTCAACATCAAGTTTGTTCTTTTCAAAGCCAGTGTTTTGACGCCATGAGCAGAGCATATCGACTTCATCGTCAACCAAGGGCTCTTCAAAGGAAAGACGTCGCTTCCCGGTACCAGTAAGCTTCCAGCTCTGTTCCAAGTCATCTCCTCCACGGAGACCAGAGAGCGTTGCAGGCTCCAAGGGGACGGACTCTTTAGCCTTGTAGTCAGCAGGCTCTTCAACCGGGCCCCAAACAGTCTCGGCTTCTTCACGAAGACCAAAGAGTTCAGCAGGTTCGAGTTTGATGACTTCAATGGCCTTGTAGTTGACAGGTGCTTCAACATAGTCGGCATAGCGGCTGTCATAGACAGACAAGCCAGAAAGAGGCACAGGCTTGGCGGCTTCGACCAGATCAGCAGGTGCTTTTTCGGCGAAAGCGGGCTCTTCAACAAAGCTAGCAGTGGTGGGGTCTTGCGACAGGCCGCTCAATGATACTGGCTCAGGCTCATAGGACTTTTCAAAGGCAACGTCATCAGAGAGTTCAACAAAACCAACATTGGCGATTTGGTCCTTATAGTGCAGGCCGGACAAATTGGCACGCTCGAGAGCAACAGGTTGCTTTGGCTCGTAGGATGCTGGCTCTTTAACAAAGCTGGCGGTTGTTGTGTCTTTGCTCAAGCCGGGCAAGTTGATGCGCTCGAGAGCAACAGGCTGCTTGGGCTCGTAGAATGCAGGTTCTTCAACGAAATTGGCAGTAGTAGTGTCATTGCTCAATCCAGAAAAATTGACGCGCTCGATAACAGCAGGTTGCTTGGGCATGTAAGGCTCTTCAACAAAGCTGGCGGTCGTGGTGTCATTGCTCACTCCAGACAAGGCGACAGGCTCCAAAGATGCTGGCTCTTGGTATGTATACGAAATAGGTGCTTCGACGAAACTGGCGGTCGTAGTGTCTTTGCTCAATCCAGACAAGCTGACGCGCTCGAGAGTGACGGGTTGTTTGGCTTCATACAAAGCTGGCTCTTCAACAAAGCTCGCGGTCGTGGTGTCATTACTCAATCCAGACAATTTGACGTGCTCGAGAACAGCAGGTTTCTTGGGCCCGTGGGGTGCAGGCTCTTCAACGAAATTGACGGTCGTGGTGTCATTGCTCAATCCAGACAAGCTGACGCGCTCGATAACAGCAGGTTGCTTGGGCATGTAAGACTCTTCAACAAATCTGGCGGTCGTGGTGTCATTGCTCACTCCAGACAAGACGATAGGCTCCAAAGACACTGGCTCTTGGTATGCATACGAAGTAGCTGCTTCGACAAAGCCGGTTGGCTCATCAGATGACACGCGCAGGCCAGAGAGCAACATGGGTTCTAAAGCAACTGTTCGTTTACGCTCATAGTTTGTGGGTGCTTTCACAAATGAGGCGGGTGTAGAATCTGATCGTAATCCAGACAACGGTGCAAACCCTGTTCCAGTTTTGTCAAGTAGTGATGATGAGGAGGAGGATATACCGGTCAAAGAGATGGCACTAATGGTAGACTCAAAGACATCTTCATTTGTCTCGAACGAAACAGGAGCCTTGACCATGAGAATAGCGCTGGTCATACCATTATCTTTATCAGCAGCAGTGGACATCTTGCTTACACCCGTGAGTGCAACAGATTCAACATGTACGCTAGAGCTGCTTTTCTCACGCTTGTACAGCAACGAAGAAGGAGCGTCGACAATAGGCAATGGACCATGGTGATCATCAGAGATCTTGTGGGCAGAGGAAAGACCAGTCAAGAAAACAGGCTGCTTGTATGACTCAATGTCAACTTCTTGGAATTCAAAGGTCGTGGGAGCTTGCACAATGGCCAGACCCTTATTTGTTGAGTCACTCTGTGCCACGATGTCATCTTGTGCACTTGTAGGAGTATCAGTAGCACGTAGGCCAGAAAGCGAAACAGGTTCCAGGTCAAAGTTGAGATCTTTTTCCACCGGGGATGGCGCATCAACAATGGGAACACCGCTACCGTGCATACTTGCCTTGCCAGAGGCAACAGCATCATCATGCTGGACGCCACTCAAGGTTACAGGCTCGAGATGGAAGCGCACTTTTTTGTTGTGATCATATGATGGAGCGTCGATGATGCGATGATCAGCAGCGGGTGTTGGTGATTGCACGACACCCCTTAATGTCACAGGTTGTAATGTATCCATGTAGGCCTTCTTTTTGTCGGTATCATTATCATAGCTTTGAACATCTTCCACAACCCAGTCGGTTAATGGGCTAGACACTGTGCCATCGTTCATGACACCCGCGAGAGGAATGCCGTACTTGCTCTTGTCATTGATATCTGCCTTAGGAATGTAATTCTGGTCATTCATTGATTTCTGAACACCAGAAAGTTGACTGCCAATCCAGTTGGTCAAAGGGGTATCGCGGTAGTAGTCGGCACCTTCAGGGCAAAGACCAGTGGTGAACACGCCAATGTTATCACCAACGGAGTCGATGGAGTCGCTTTCTTCAGAGATCAAGTCTGGCAGATCATCATCCGTCATAGAGGACGAAGAAGAGGATGCCGCATAGCCTTGGACACCAGTCAAAGAGAATGCTTGATTGTCAAAGGAAACAGTCTTGGTACCAGAGATCCGCTCGCTTTTGGCAAAGGCTCTGCTGCGTGGTCGAACGGGTGTAGCGACGACGTTTCCGCTGAGGATGGAATCGACCGGTGGCACCCAGCTTCGGACAATAGCAACGGTGGATTGCGGCAGATGTTCAACAGCAGAGTTTAAATGACGCTCAAATGCACGCACAGCGTTATTAGGCAATAGCAGGTGACCGGTTGAAGTATCAAGTGATGCAGGACGTACATAAGCACTTCTTGCTTCACGTATCCGATAGAATAAGGTACCCTGTTATTATGATTTGATTCAAATCAGTAGATGAGTAAGTCCTTTGTTTCATTCTTCTTAATGTATTGTAGCGCGATCCGGATCACATGGGGTCGGCAACTTACATCATATACAGCTTGTATATCTGTCTTATGAAAAGAACCACTCTGGCCAATCATCATGTACAGACCAATCCAGTTGAACATGGCCATCGTCCTATATAGCATCAGAGCAACAAGCTGCTTGAGTATTTACTAGTCTCGCTGGGTAGATAATAAAACACATTAGATGGTAAATATTTACCATGCTGTCGGACTAGCACCATAAGAACCTTGCTCGGAAGCCAATTGCAAAAGTTCCGTCAATGTGATGGTATTCCCACTCAGGTCCGATTGCGCGTATTTGTCAAAGAGCGTTTCGAACTTGTCAGCATCAAACTGGCCATAGTCATCATATACTCTGCTCGGTGACGGGCGCTGTAGAATGTTCCGGTATAAGTTTTTATGTGAATTGTCAGTAGCTTTGTAAAGAAAAACAAACAAATTTGGTCCAAACTACAATGATTTTGCTGCAATGCCTTTTTGTTATTCTTTTTATTACCTTGGTGGGCCGAGTCAGTTTTCGTACATTGATCCTGCATCGAGGGTCGGGTATCCAGGAGTCTTGAGTTGCATAGGCGAGAAATACGCCCATAAAAGTTCCGATGGTCAAGCTAAAGATCACACCATAACCAAGATTCATAAGTCCTAAGTAAGTTTCGACAAAAAGATTGGTTACTTGGCTTATTTGGTTCGGGCTTTTTTCTCTTAATGCAAACTAACCAGCAGCTGTGTCAACGGGCGTAATATATCCCTTGTTCCTTCTATCCCAGAATTTTGAGTGTTTGCGAACGGCCTATCGAGATGCAAAACAGAGTTGGGGTTATCAGTTGATATGGTCATGAATTGCGCGGGCTGTCAATGTATTAATGGCGGACAAGAAAAATGAAAGGCTTACAGTGTTTTCTTGGCTTGTGACATTAACAATACGACGGCGCGCAACGGTGGGGCGTTGGCGGCTTCCTCCTGGATCTTAAGAAATACTAGTATGTTAGCTCTCCTCTACTATAATCTGTAAAGCTAATGATGAGGTATAGAGAAAGTGATAAGCTTCAAAGTCTCACCTGCGACACCAATGATAGCCATCTCTTGGGCGAGAGAATGTATATGTGAATGTAAGAGTGGGGAGGGTGCTGCTGTGGCTGTAAAAGAGAATGCAGTGAGGAAGAGAAGAGAAAGAAAAAGGTACTACTGGACTGCAAGAAGTCCACTGGAAGTTGATGGTTTATATATGCGTTATATTTTTACGAATGAAAAAGAAAGTTTGTGTGGGCTGCTGCATATCACATAGTAGCATACCCACACACACACAGAGCACATTCTTTTGTTTGTTCTCTTTCCAAAGAAGACGGCTCCTTTGGGGGGACTATCCGGAAATCCACTTGCTTTGTGTTTCCCTCCACCATTTGCCCATAAAAGGTCAAGTCTCGCAAACCTTTTTTTTTGTTCTCTCTGCGACTTGCTATCGCAAAAGTTCACATGAATCACAACAACATAAACACTCAGCGATGCACGGGTTTTAAATTAAAAAAGCACATAAAACGCTGATGTTGTTTATGCCGTCATCACCACCGTTGCGTGCGTGTGTGTATTGTTATGATGATAATGCAGCCTATATACTGATTTAGATATCAGCCTGCTGTCTGCCTACTACCTACTCAGACAAACTAAAACAAAATGTGAGGGCGCGGAGGAGGAAGAGTTCCGTCTTGATCGCTTTCTTCGCTTCTCCCACCAAGCGTTATTAAGTGCTAGTGGTAATAGGGGCGAGCACCATGCGTTGGTGTAACCATGCAACTTACTCCTTAATGCACAGTGCCACCGCACCTTTTGGCTCTTTTGGCTAATCATGAATGACAAAGGGAGGCATACATATAAGCAATGTAAAGCTTATCGAATAGAAGTCAACCGAGCTGCATTACATTTGTAAATTTAAGCAGCAGACAACAACGATATTGGCAACAACGTACAGTATGTATTTATGTTTACAGCGGATGAATGATCAAGAACGCACCACAGCTGTCTACTTTAGCAAAGTCCGGCTTTCCACTCAGGTGCACGAAGTGCGAGACTTGAGCGCAGACATATATGCAAGTACGTCCAAGTAAATATTCAAATATGTGTGTGTGCGTGTTGTTGTGCTGTATTTTGATATGGGCGCGCAATTACTTATATAAAAAACAAAAATGTTACTGTAGATCGACACCCCCAACTCAACTCTTTCTTTAGTGGGCTGCTAAACATTCAAGACACTATACATCAAAGACCTTAAAGCAGGGATAACTTGTCTGGCGCTGCCACAAGCACTGTCATCATGCCCTGCACCATGTGGCTCGTAATATGACAATGAAGAGGCCAGACACCGGGATTCGACTAGATAACGAAATCATAAACGATAAACAACAATAAACAGCGTCAGCTCATATAAGTGCATATTATAAATAATGCCCAAACAGGAAATATAATCATCACCACCAACTTACGGTGTAGATACGGATTTTACTCCATCCACAAAGTGTATTGCCCGCGGTCCGTGGAGGTGGTCCTGGCTGAACAGGATAGACGAATGATGTGTCACGGGCTATCGCAGTTTGATAAGTGCGAAGGTCTTTATCTTGTTCGTGCACATATTCGCCTGCACCGTGTGCAAGCACATAATGGTAATGGCCATGCGTGTGCCAAGGATGACCAATGCAAACGCCATTGGCGATGGCTGTGGTGTGAATGACAATGTCGACGGTTTCGTTGAACTGGAGCGTGTATGCACCAATGTCGGGATCGAAACTGTCCGCCTCGAGTCGCTGCTGTTGCTTGGACACGAAATCCTTGCCGTCGTTGCCTATGAACTTTGCCAGGAGCGGTGGATGGGCCTTGTTCGTCCCGTCGCTTGGATAGTACAGGCGGTCGTTCAGCAACCATGCCGTGGTGTTGTCGGCCATGACCTTTTCCATAGGTTTGATAACAATAGTGCGATCAGCTTCCTTTTCAAGGTCAATGCTCGGTGGATTGAACGGGGCAAGATCTGCAAAGTGCCACTGTGGCGTCGGCGGAGGGAATTTGGGATGCTCGTCCACACTTGCCGTGGTAGCAGGCAACTTGGTGTTGTATCGCAAGATGGCGCGTCCATTACTTTCGGTTTCGCGGATATAATACGGCTTGGTATCGATAAAGTAGCTCTGATCAGCAGCAGGCTGGTCTGTCGTCAACAGCACCGAGAAACGTTGGCCAGGAGCAACTTCGAGATACGAGACCGAATGGGGCTTCACCAGCTGGCCGTCGACTTCAATAATAGTAAGGTTGTGGCGTGCAAAAGACACGCCGACCACAGCGAGCGTTAAACCGCCAATGACACGCACTCGGTATACTTTTTGGGGCTCTACATCGATCGTCGGGTATTCGCAACCGCTTTCTCTGCTATAGACGGCCTTGCCATTGATCAAGTAGCTGTCGGCGCCAACCATGCCACGATAGTTTGTTCCCATAATATAATCCATTCGCTCCTGCTCGGTCTGGTGCCACCATTCGGAAAGGAACAAGGTCCGTTCATCATCATACTCGTATGGCCCGTCCTTGAGCTTTTTCTTATTGTCTTTGGAGGGCCAGGCATCCTCGGACTCATATACAATAAATGGGCCACTGACAGTATCATCGCTGAGGCCTAAATGAGCGTGATAATAGTATGTGCCCGTCTGATCAATGACTTGGAACCTTTGATGATACGTCTCGCCTGGCTGAATCGCAACTTGTGTCAGACCGGGCACTCCATCGGCCTCTGGTGTTCCGATTTGTAGAATGCCGTGGTAATGAATGGTCGTGGAATGGTTTGAGTCGACGTCATTATGGATGATAACATGGACATGATCGTTCTTGGTGACGCGGATGGGTGGGGCCGGAAACTGGCCATTGACCAGCAAACCAGTATAACCGCGCTCGTAACAATCGGGATTCAAGCTTCCCCTCGAGATGTTTAGCTCAAACGTGCGAAGCTCTGCATAAGCTGAGCAAACCAAAAGAAGTGCAATAATAAAGTATAGCGATAACAGCTTGCTGCTCCCGTAGAACCCTTGCATCATCTTTACTTTTGCCGTTGTGTCACTACTTGCACGTCGAGAGAGTGTGTGCAATTTTTTCCGGGTTCGTCGATTAAGCAGAAATAAAAGTAACAGCAGCTGGAATGATGAGGAACGAGAATAAAGAGTAAAACAATGTTTTCTTTTATATAAATGATGATTTCGGTCCAATTTGGAAACGCATTCTTCTTATTGCTAAATAATAACAATAACAATATTAATAATGGTGATTGTTGGAAATCAGACCACAAAGGATCTTTTATTGAGCTTGCGCTTGATAATGATTATAAGGGGTAGCGGGTCCAGCGAGGGCGCAGTCAACGCTCTAGTGCATGCGGTATGCATCGTTAATATGACGAGATAAAGACAAAGAAGTAAATTAGGCTGATCGGGCAACCTTTCAAATCCACGCATTCTCCGGGATCAAATGTATGAAATCGGCTGTCAACCATTTTTATACGCTGCAGGCACCAACGCATCGCTGTAGCCATGTGCGACGCTTAAATAAACTCAGCAAGCCAATTCTAATTTTGGAACCATGTTTTTTTTTTGTGTATATATCATCCACCTTGGCACAAGAATTTCCTTTCTCTTTTTCCGTTTCCTTTGTTTTGCTCTATCTTCTTTCGATAAGCGCATTTTCCTTCTTCTAGGCTGTCATGGAGACAGTTACCACCATAAACCACAGGAAAGCAGATGAGATTCTTCATCTTTTAAATAGCAAAGAACCCACAGCAAAACGACAAGCACTTCACAGTTTACGCGATGTTCAACATACAGTCAAAAACCGACAAAAGCGCACCCGCACGTTTGCTTTGACCGTCCATGCTCTGGAGCGCCAATACGCTCAGTGGCAAAGCAGTGCTCGTCAGCAACTAACCCAACTTGACACAAACGTAGCCGACCTGAACCACCAAGTTGCTCGCTTGCGCCAACAACGCAGCGAGTCCGAACAGCGATTGGCAGGATTTGAGCGACAGCTGCAAGGTATACGGGATTACGCCCAACAGCGACGAACGAAAAAGACGAAGCGAGAAAAGCAATACAACCATTTTTATTTCGTGCCTGTCTTATCGAACCAGTACCACAAAAAATATGTGCGAGCACATGACAAGAATGCATTGGCCGAGGAGCAGGTTGTCCAAATCCGAGAACAGATTGAAGCCTGCCAAGAAGCTGTGCGTCAAGCAGCGCACCAGCTTGGGCGGAAGCAGCAAGAGCATGATGCGCAAATGGAGCAACGGCATGCTGTCCATGGCCAAGTGGCTGAAGCAGACCAGTGTCTAAATTATTTACATCAGGGCCAGCAATTCTGGGACCATTTCGAGCAGTATCAGGCTGCCGTTGTACTCGAGTCGTGTGATCGACTCATTGAACGTTTTCGGAGCAACAGCGGTGATCAGATTCAACAGCCTTTGTTATTTTCGCGTCGCCGGTCTTCTTCTTCTACTGCTGCATCACCACACCGAGAAGAAGAGCGTGATTGGACAGTCATTTTTAGGACGGTGTGTAAAGAATATGGAGAACGCGAAGCGTTTGGTGCCGAGAAATGGGACCATGTCGAGGTCGATTTTGACTGTGCCCGATGCAAGCAATCCCTCGTCGGATGGCCCACACCAGATAAAGTGCACACATCTGACCTATTGTGTGCAGTGTGCTACCAGGAAACGAGGACCAGGTATGATGAGATCATCCCCACTTTTCCCCACACGCACGCCACGCATAGGAGACCGCAAGTGAATACTCAACTGACCTTTCTATCATTAAAATGTCAACCAGCATGATTATGGAGAAGAAAATGAACGTGTGGGGTGGCAAACTAGGTATCGAGCGACCGGTTAGCATGGAGCGTCATCAATCATCTTCCAGTGCAACATCCAACAACAGCAACCGTTTGAGCACAGCTAGTACGAATAGTAAACGACCGTCACTTTCATCTTCATCATTCTTTGTGGGTGATGCTACGAAAGCTACGAAAAAAGTGTTCAAGATCTTTAAGCCGAACAACAAAAAGCAACAACGTCGACAGTCGGCTGACGTTTCAATGATCCACCAGCCATCAGCACTGCCCCCTCCTTTACCTGCTGCTGATCGGCCACTGCCACCTCCTCCACCAACAACGCCCTTTTATTCCACAGCAGCATAAATAATTCATGTAGTTAACAATGTATAGCAGCATATCTCACTTATATATAATAGCTTATACCCCACACTAGATGTCACTCATACCTTTTCATTTTGGAATAACTCATCTCATCCGGTTTGTAATTTGGCGGATGTTTTATCAGTTGGTGACACGGATGATTTGAGTAGAACCTTCTACCGGGATTTTTCTCTGGAGATGGCGGATGTGGGGTTTTTCTCAGGCAGGCGGATTGGGGGGATGATGTTAACAATGCGATGTTTTTTACCTGGCACTACTTTGTTTCCTCCGACCTCGACGCACCTGGTTCAACCAAGTCAAAACCTTTAACATATACCCAACGCAGGCAAAAAGAAGTCGACAAATCCAGTGTCTATGAAAGCAAATGGAGCACGCGTGGGTGTCACAATGAAAGAATTTAACGTAAACTGCTACATAAAGTATCACCAAGAAAGCTTTTTTATAGTATCTTATGGCATGAGATTTCTGCTAAATTACCCTCACAAACTAGCTGACAACAACCTACATGGAAACTGGTCAACGGATTGCTATTCATAGAGCTATCAGCGCCACGCAAATCACGGAGTAGACCCCTGGATTTGGTCAGAAATTGCGCTCTAACTATGATATTGAGTGAAATATTTCACCACTTGTTCGCATCACTCTTCATAAAAAGCTGCTACTGACAGCTTCCAATGGGACGATAATTTCAGTGGCATCAATGCAATATGATGATAAAAAAAATTGGCGATAGTGATGACAACAGTTCGTTAGGCCAATCTGGAGGGAAATAGGTTGTTGGACAGCAGAGCTCATGTACAAACAAAATGCTATCTTGCAATGCCTGATTTGCTGCATCATTCAATCACCAAACCGTCCGAAAGGTCGATGACGAAAACAAGCCCAAGTACGCAAGCCATGGCAGCACTCACGGCGACCATATTATAAAAAACATGTCTTGAGCTGATGTCGGATAGTAGTAGGAAGAAACTATGTCCACCCATTTTCAAATAACTGCCTTAAAGCTGACAGACTTTTAGGGCAAGGCATTAAAGAAACAGTCTGACGAAGAGTGCGAGATTGTTCTGCACGAATTCATTTGTAGCAATGCTCAAGTATCTTGCCATTACGAACAATTTGATAGGGTCTTAACGTTTGGTGCCTACCTATTGATATATTTCAGCCGATGTACTCCCACATGGTACATTGAAAGATACTGATAGATTAACACTAATGTGCGAAAATCTGTCGCTCACAGTATAGCCAAGTTGTTCCTGGTACTCGGAGCCTGAGGAGATTAGAATGCTGTGTTAACGTTACATACATGCATTAAGTGCTGAGCCATACAAAGCATTAGTGCGTGTCATATCTGTCTCTTTCACTTGCGCTTTGAGTATGAAATGCTATTCTTCATTTTTCATGCCTGCCGAACAAGAAACCACCGGCTATCTTGTGGAATTGCCTTACGAAAAGCTGCTGTAAGCACAATTCTTATTTCACTTATCAGTGAACCTGAACATGGAGACACCTGTGCTCAATAAAGGTAAAAAAGGAAAGAAAGCAAAGAGTTTGTTGATGCAGTCGTTTAATATGAACAGAGTAATCTCTGCAAAGCGTTATGCTATTATATATATCCACTCTAACTCTCTATCCATCTCCCCCTCTACTTGTTCTATATAGATTTGGTATTAAAAAAAATACACCACCGAAACATTAGAAGCCTTTAACATTTCTCATGTTCTTGGACAGTGACTTTTGCTCACTCACTGGTTGAAAAATGTATCGATGAACAAGCTACTTGAGGGTGGATATAGCCAAGATGGTGATTTTGACTTGACGATATATCATTCACAGAAAGTCTCAACGAACAGAACGTTCAGCACACGAAAAGGCACATGGAAGCCCATAAAAATGATGACGGATTCTTTGCGGTGAGCACTTGTCAAACGTGAGTTAAACAGATAACACTTATGAATGCCACAATGTTGGATACCGCCAGATGGCAAGTGGTTGAACTTTGAGAGCAACCGAGCATCGGTAACGCCTGACTTTGAGCTACTTGCACCACTGCATGTAACCTTATACATCATCCCTGCGTTTTTTCCCACGTTTTTGTATATGTATTTTTGCAGCAAAAAAAAATGCCATATGTGATGTCTTGCGTTAAAGTTAATAAAATACGTGGCACCAGGTAATGAACATTGTTTCGATATTTTATAAAAAATGCACGCCCCCAGCCACTATCACCATCATTCTGGAAAAAACACCCTGTATATGAAACACTAAATACTCACTTTTAATATGTGAAATGTGAAAGAGAGTGATGTATACATTTCAAGGTCATCGATGTATTTATTTTTTCCTCTCATTATACTTTACTTCTTGTTCTTCTCAGGGAATGGGCGCACGTAAACCATATATGGGCACTTTTGCTTATGACTCTCTGCACCATACTACAGTAGACTCTCTGCACCATACTACAGTACACTATTATATGTAACGAAGTATAAATGATACATGACAATTTTTTTCGTGCTGAGAAAGAAGGCGCATTAGGATTAGCACAGAGGATGAAGAAGAAAAGTGGCGGTGCAGTTTTATTATTGTGCTCTTCTTACTGTTTTTGTCATTATTCTTCCTTTTTCATTAATCGTACAAACATATCAATATTTACATCTTTGAGTAAATAGATCTTAGAATAAAAGGGAGCTCGGTAATGTATATGGTTGCATTATAGTAACTACACAGCATCGCCCGGCAACGTTTGGGATGCTTCCTTCTTTTTTACGGCTTCGGCAAAAAACTCAAGCAAGTAATTACCCATAGTGTATATTATGCATGTGCTATAAAATGCGCTTAGCCATTACTGATGCTAACAAAATAAAGGATTGTGCAACTTGCCGATGCAAAACTACAGGCTGTCGTGTGTTCGTGGGATGATGATGATGATGATGAAGGGACCAGATAAGCTTCTTGTTTCATTTTCTGGGGCAAACTTTTTTTCAAAGGCTAGAGATGGCATCGTATGAAAGAAGCAGTCGGGCCATCAAACGATTTCTACTGATAGACTATCAACAGTCTAATCAAGGTGCAGCATTTATGCAATGCAATAAAGCCATTTGCACTAAAAATCTGTAGTGAACGAGAGTACGTGTACCATTTATTTGAACCCGAGCGTTGATCTCTTCAACTGCTTTTGCCCACTGTTCCGTGTCAACAATACCCATAGCAACCATATCCCGAGCAACCGTGTCCAGAGCAATCATAACCATAGCAATCGTGCCCCTAAAAACCAGCTTATATACGAGCACGGTGAAAACATTCAAGCTCTTGAGACTCAGATAGAATTGAGTTCCTTTCCTCGCACAACGTCTTGGCAATGTTATTCGTTTCCATTACTGAGTTTCAACTGGCAGGCTATTCAAGTCTCAGGGGGGACGAGACAATTTGTGGGGGCCCTTCTTTCCAGCTCTTTTTCCATAGTCGCTTTGCAACCAATACAATAGACGGGTCGAACCAACCACCACCACCACCACAAAAAAAAAACCAACCAACTCGTTCTAGAATATTTTAATGACCTTTAATTAAGATGTCGAGTACTTCATTCTTCAAATGGATGGGCCTTGTAAGTTTCTTCACTGGGAATCTCTTTCTTCTTTGTTCCTTTATGACTTTCTTGATTCCGCTACACTTGTTCTCCTAGCTACTCTTCCCCTATTATCAATTATAATTCAAGCAGTATCGTTTGAAACGTTATTAATTGCTTGTTAGGGCCAGTCTGGCAAATCGGTTGCTGATAATGATTCCTTTGACGAAGGTGAACGGTACTTTGGACTCGAAAATGTAAGTCTTTTATAAATCACATTCCGAATAACTGTGAAAAAGCCAATTTGCTTGGTGGTGTTCGTCTGCTATAAATACTAACAACTTATTTGCACATATAGTTTGGAAATACCTGGTAAGTTTTTTTTGCTCTTATTGCGTCTCACTTAACCCACACACACGCACATGCACCCTCCCCTTTTTTTTATGTTTTATAATTTATGCCGTTCCGAGGGGAGGTGGTGTGTGTACATACGTACGATTTGATACAAACACATGGAAGCGAAACAATCCTTCAACTGTTCCTAACGCATCATATCATCTTTGCAACAAAACAACAACAATAGTTATAGCAACTCGGTTATCCAAGCTTTATACTACTGCAAACCGTTTCGAGAATGCATGACGAACTATCCTTTTCCGGCCGCCCTCCCACCATCATCGTCATCATCAATTCAATCGCCTGGCCTGACGAGTCCCAGCTCACCTATTGTCGGCACACCTCATTTCCCTTCCTCATCGACGTCTTCCTCCACCAATAACAATAATACCGGCAGCCGTCTTGCGAACGGCGTCAATGGTTTAGCATCGGCGAGCCAACCATCCTTCCAGCAACAACCACCACGTACTTCAATATCGTCACGTGGACCTAGCACTAGCAATAATGCGTTGACCAGTGTCATCTCTTCGTCACACCACGAGCGAGATCATAACGGCGAACTTCATCTTTCTCCCGGAATGGAGGATACACTGTTTGCTGCGTTAAAGGATCTATTTTGGAAGATTGCAACACATCGAAAAAAGACTGGTGTTGTAGCTCCTGTCAATTTTATCAACAAGGTCAAGAAGGAAAATGGTATGTGGATAAATTAGTCGATGATTAGTGCTGTATATATATATATATGTGTGTGAGAACGTGGGAGGGTTCAAATTCGGTTTGTGCTGTTAAGGGAAAAGCCAGAGATGCTTATGCTGATGATGATCAATGTGATGCCATATAGAATTGTTTAGATCTAGCATGCATCAAGATGCACACGAATTTTTAAATTATCTACTCAACAGTATTGCCGATGACGTGCAAAAGTATCAGAAAAAGATGTCAGAAAAGGCACCGATTAATGGGTTGAATGGTATTGCTGAAAATGGTACCGACGATGAAGCAACAGATGGAAAAAGCTCAGGTATGTACATGCCCACTTGCTTCTTGGACCTTTGCCAAATATCAACGACTAAACTCAAAAGTACCTCTCTCTCTCTTACAGATTCCGATAGTTCGACAAACAAAGCCAAATCCACATGGGTGCATCAACTGTTTGAAGGAATCTTTTCCAATGAAACCAAGTGCTTGACCTGTGAGACGGTATGCTTTCTCTATGGCTAAAAAAGATTCTGCTTTATAGTGCATATTTCTTCATGCTAAACAAACCTTAAATCTAAATTATGTAGATTACAAGTCGAGACGAATGCTTTATGGATTTATCAATCGATGTCGAAATGAACTCATCCGTTACCTCGTGTTTAAGGCAGTTTTCGGCAAGCGAGACATTATGTCACAAGAACAAGTACTTCTGTGATGTATGTTGTGGATTACAAGAAGCAGAAAGACGGTAAGGAAGCGGATTTCTTTTTTTGTACGTTAGAAATGCGAGGTTTCAGATACTAATAGCTGATTACAATTTTCGATTATCCCTAGAATGAAAATAAAAAAGCTGCCAAATATATTGGCGCTCCACTTGAAACGCTTCAAGTACCAGGAACAATTGCAAAAGTACATCAAGCTTACCTATCGTGTGGTTTTTCCGTTTGAACTTCGGTTATTTAATACTGTATGCTATTTTTTTTCTATTCGAAAAAAGAAAACGATCTTTAGTGTATATTCATATTAACAAACGATTCTCTTTTCTCGCCTTAGTGTGATGATACCGACGATGCAGATCGTCTTTACGAATTGTGGGCCTGTGTTATACATATTGGCAGGTACGTATTAGTAATCAACTGCTAATCAAGACAATACACAGTGTGTACTAAGAAAAATTGTGTTTTAGTGGGCCGCATCATGGACATTATGTTACCATTATCAAAAGCAATGGTCAATGGATGCTTTTTGACGATGACATAGTAACGGTAACCATGCACTATAGCTTCTTTTTTATGGTTTTTAGGTTTAAATGATAACTAACGTACATTCTACCAGCCTATTCATGAAGATGAAATACAAAAGTACTTTGGCGATATCCCTGGTAGCGGATCAGGCTACGTCTTATTTTACCAAGCAGTTAATATCAACATGGACTCCCTTGATATATATAATGGGCTCGATGTGAAGAATCCGATCAACAACAACGGCAACAGCAACCACATCTACCACAACAATAACAACAATAACAACAGTAACAATTCACCGATTCATGCCAACGGCAGGCCGTCGGCGCCGACAGGTTTCCACCACTATCAACAACAACAACAGCCACAAAACCACACACCACCACACCTTGCCACTCCCACCACATCCGCATCCCATCGTTTAGATCCTACATCTTTTAAACCCGATTCAGGGAAACATCCTAATCCTCCAAATACCCCTGTGCCACCCCCTCCATCGTCATCGTCCAGTACAGCAGCTGCACCTGTTCCTACTCCGTCACTTAGTACGACCGTGGAAGAAAGGAAAACGCGCTGGGGATTACGGAAAATCCGAGAGAAAAATTCAAATAAACGATGATAATCTTTGCCATGGATTTTTCTTTTCATTTTCTGTATGGGTTCTCAAACTTATTTGTTTTGTAATAATTGTCGTTGAAAAAAAGATGCGTTTCTTATACTCACTTACTACGAAAGAAAGAAAAGCATTAAACTTGGATCTATCGCATTCCCGGCTAAATTTGGCCCGCATTTTTACTTGATACTTCGTTCTAATGACATACACACGCTTTGCCAAAGCATATGGTGTCACCATGAATTGATATTTTTAGCAGCCGAAAGAGATGGTTGAACAGAGTAACCGGAGAAGTAGTTGTTGACATGGCGTCACTATGAGGCAGAGCTGAGAGAAGAACGACCAAGTGGTAATGGTGAGCGATTGAGTTTGCTTTTCGCGGTCGTGGCACAACAGTGTATGTTTCAACCCGCTCGGTTATTATAGTACAATCATGACACCATTAATTTTTTTGCTCCCTACTACGTGGCTGATTGAGCTTTAGTTGTGCATCTTTCGATAACAATTGTTGGGGACAGGTTTTTTCCACACAGTTCTTGCTGCGAACAGACATCATCAGCGAGCCGCGTGGTACAATTGTGCTACGATCGGATCACAGAACAATGCAGTTCAAAAAGAATAGCCGAAGCTATTCTCCTGTCTTTTGGCTTGGTTTTGTTATTTACAAGGCGACAAAAGGGTGTTGATGATGACACATCTGCTTGAGTACCCAGCAAAGGTCTTGCCAAATTTATCTCTCATACGATAGGTAGGTAGTACCAGTAGTGATAACCAGAGATATAACGAACTCTCGATTGATGGGTTCAATTGAGTGAAATCAAAAAGTTAAATAAGCACTCTTGCGATTCAACAAGGAAGGTACCATTGCATCAGCATCAGCATCAGCATGAGGTGAGTGTTTCTGTGTTTATTGGAGCTCAAATGTAGGACACGTTAAGAGAGAGAGAGGAAGTAAAGTTTAAAACGAAACATGTGGCGTGATTACTGGATATGGAACTACTTGATACGGAACTTCAGAAAATCAAGAACAGTTGTATTATAGAAACAGGGAAAAAAGATTAGTACATAGTAATGAAATAGCCATATTAGAAGAATGTGTAAGAATACTGGATAAGTGTATGAATAGTATATATATGAGATGTGTGTGCGTGGGAGCATTATTAGCCTTGCAAGTAGGTACGTATAAGTGGGGTGGGGGAATATATAATTGAATAAAAGATAGTGCTTTCAATTAATTGCACTAAAATGAAATGAAAAAATAAAATAAAAATAGGGCTGGGCCCTTTTCGCATTGAATGGAAAGAGTCAAGAAGCGGGGGGTAATGGGAGTGTCGAAGAGGGGAGCGGCCAACTTGGATCCAGCGTTTTTTTCAAACTTGCACCAAAAACTCAGCAGCAAGTTCCGATCATTAAGTGGGTTGTAACACTCACTTTGGTCACCTTTAAGTTTTAAAGACCCCGAGGCGTCAAACTCAACTTGAGCGTACTTCCACGGCGTCCTCCGGCAATCAATTCTTCCAATTCTTTTTGTTTACGCTTTCGTTCCATCTCTGACCGGTGATCATAATCCACGTTGTACGCTTTGATTCGTCTCAATGGTGTGGATCGACTCTTTTGAAGAAGCGGTTGAGGCGGTGGCATTGTAGCAGCAGCCGCAGCTCTTGATTGTCGATTTCGCTTCTTTGCTGCCAAGGTTGACGTTGCAGGAGTCAACGACGACGACGCCGATGACCAAGTTGTTGATGAGGATGAAGAGGATGATGATGACACGTTGTTTGCTAGGTTTGCTAGGCGACTGTGATGATGACTTGCTGGCGCAGCAGGTGCAGTTCGTACTGATGCGACTGAGGCATTGATCGACGGTTGTGGCGGTATGTGAAACGAATGGCGTCGATCACCACCCCCTGACGATGTTGCTGCTGTTGACGGTGGTGCAGTAGCGCGAGGATTGTTCGTTGGACGGGGCAGCCGTGACGGTCGCGAGGATGACTTTTTGGGAGGCTCAGGGGGCTCTGTTGTTGATCTTAATGGCGCTTGATGACGGTGCTGATGCTGCTGTTCATTTCGTGGTGCGGATATTGTACTTCGCCTTGGCATCTTCTTTGGCATGCTGCTGACACGCGGTGGCACTGAATTAAGTACAGAACATTCATTGCCACCCATGAACAGAGGTGGCTGTGTTGTCCGAGTAGGCGATACTAAGGAATAAAAGCTGTTTTTACTGCGAATAGGCTGCTGCCCAATAATCGGCGGTGATATAGCCATCTCTTGATGATCTTTACTGCTGCTGCGATGATGGATGGGCGGGCAGAATATCTTTTTTAATCGCAATGGCGGCCGTTTGCCGCTAGTCATTGTTTTGTTATTGTTGTCAAGCATATTATACAGAATATAGGGTACGTGGGCGTATAGGACAGTGAATTAAAGTATAAGGAGCGGAAAAGGGGTTGGAAGTTTGAAAAAGAAGAAAGAGTTGAAGAAATGCAATTTTTTTCGTCGGTCCGTTTGAATTGTTATGTACGCACACCGGAGTTCAACTCACCACGACATTAATAGCAGTGCGAGCACGCGAGCACGGTGACACAAAATGATTTTGGATCTTGCCATGGTGTTGTTGCCATGACAACCTGTGTTCTCGGCGGGTCTCCATTTTTCTTTTTTTCTCTCACAGCCTTCAGATTGGGATGACATGGCATAAGGAAGCTGCGGCCGTCTCTCGTCCATTAAAAGCTTTATTTGTCATGCTTTTTCCATAACGTTTTTGCACAACCCATCGTCTTTTGGAAAACAATTTTGAAATAGCGTCGATCTTCGTTAGATATTTTTCTGCTGTGCTCTATGACAGATAAGGGAGGGTTAAGGAGTAATACACAAGTTTACTAAATTTCTTGAGTTTCGGACACTTTTCTATTTTGCGGTTTCTGTGATAGTAAAAAGAGCTGTGTGGGGAGGGGTGTTGTCTTGAGCACCAAAATGATCGCACACCTTTGTAACACCTGCATGTCCGTAATCGCATTTATGAATACACTGGATGGTTTGATCATATAACAAAGGCACATTCTCACAACAGCAAACAGCTCATGTACCTCTGTTGAAGATGACCGAGCTTCTACGATGCTGGAGTTTCATAAAAAGAAAACGAACGTTTCACGACGATATGCATAACACTTGAACCTTTTCTTATTTGGTACACTAAAGTAGCTATCGTCACTATCATTACACTCGAGTAGAATCGCTAAAAAGTGGGAAATGAGCTGTGTACTACGTCATTGAAAAGTTCTATAAATGAAGTGCTGATAACGCATAAGAACAAAAATATAATACCTTAATATCAGACCACACGAGCTTTGGCACATGCAGCAATAAGCGCAATATGCTTATCTCAATAAGAAGTGATACAGAGTGGTGCATAGTAGTAATGCCTGCTCTTATTGGCATGAATACAAAAAAAAATACAAAATTACTGAATGATGGTAGCTTATCGAACGTTTCGTAGCTAATGACGCTTGTTTTAGGCTCATCACTGTCATTACATCTTCCATTTTCACTTGGTAAAAGCACAGATTTACATGTGATATAACCTTATATACGAGTAAAAGTCCCAATCTGATAAACAATATTTGGCGCATATAAATCTGCCAAAAATAAAATAAAGTCAAGGTCGTTAGCACGGGCCGCTTCTTTCATAATATGGACCATGTGAAAAGATTTGAAAGGAAAAGATTGAGGCTCGACCCTCTTGTTCTTTTATTAATAATCCGGGACTTAACCAGCTCCGCCTGGATTATCCATCTGTATATCTACTAGCGTCATTAAAATAAAATCATGTGTCATAAACTGGGCCTTTTACTCTATATTAGCAGTATGTCCTTTTCCAAATATATGTATATGATTTGGTGAAAGTGAAAAGAGAATGATGGAAAAACAGTCAGCCATAAACAAGTATCAGAATGCAGAAAATAAGTTTCTATCATAGATCACGTCGCACTCTCTCTGTTCGAACCCTCTCTTTGTGCTACACTTCTCAATGTTACCGGTCCATTCCAATGGTCAAGGCAAAAAACGATATCCCATCAAACGGCATCTTATTATTATGTAACATGTCATCATAAGTAGGAGACCTTCATACGTACTATCAGCTGGTGATAATAAGAGAGAGAGGTACAACATGTGAAATAGAACATTCAAGTCTAGCACTAGACCTGCTATAGCCGTCTGCTTTAAAAAGATAACTATAATTTCTGTCAGTGATAACAACAGAAAATCATATGCTTCGGCATGAACCCCCAAATAAAGGAGAAACGCTTCACTGTGTCAGTGCGCACGGCACCATTGTAGAACACAGAGACTTTTGGGTGACAAGGTCACAAATATGGTATTGCATTTCAGTACCAAGTCATTATCAGAAGAGCTGGAGAGCTAATTGACTGTTTGAATGTAATTGAAAAAAATTAGGCGAGCTTAAAAGTATTCTGATCCATTCAGTTTATCATGTGTAGATCTGTTTCATTTGGAAAATATGGAGCTATATATATAAACTTCCAATAGCTTACAATGCTCTTAAAGTTAACTGAGGGATAATGCTATGGAATTCCCCTAAAACGTTACAGAAAAGCTTCCAGACGTAGTTGAAGGCCAACAATGGATTTTGAAATCTTTCAAATGCTTTTGAATACTCTTATTTGCTCTTCTACACTTTTGAATGCTTCCCAGTACTTTAAAGCGACTTAAACATATTTGGATGCTTTCGAATGGCTTGTGGACTTTCTAATACTTCTAAACACTTTTGAATATTTTTGAATGCATTTGAGCACTCTTATAGTGCGGCTTTTCCAACGCTTTTAGGTACTTCTCATCAGAATCAAGCATCAAGAAAGGTCATGTACTTGTTTCATTCAATGTAGTAGCTAACCGGTGACGTATCTTTTGGAGTATTGGATTTCTATCGAATAATCGCAGCGACTCCATCATATTATTCAGCATAATTTAGGTATGCTCTTCAGCGATTATTTGCTTGGTAATAAAAAGTCGATATAATGACGAAGTACAAGGCTGCTTGGATACTGATCTTGTCATGCGCACATGGAGTCACAATCCAAAAAAAGCTCTATTAGTTTATCATCTAGTATCTAGACAGTTAGTAAGTAAAGGCTTATAGTTACTAACCGCCACATGGTGCTGAAGCTCTATGAGCGTGGGGTTTGTTAAAGACTTCAATACGCAGGTTTTGTTGGAAGGGTCGTATATACCGAGATTGTGGTACCATTTGTGATCTATCCAAATATTAAAAAAGCACTTAGCGATCATCGCCCTTTAATTATTCAATGCCGCATTATCGCATGTACCGTTTATTGATAGATTGCAAGGCTTTGTCTCTGTCGGCTTCATATATCATGTGCTCGGTGCATGTAAGTAAACGGATGTACACGCCTCCAAGTTGATGCAGACTACTCGGAACTATGGCCTCGTAAATGTTAATTTCAACATGCATTCTAGAATATTGTACGGAACAGGCAGAGGAGCGCATATCAAGACTTAAGCTGATATTATAAGAGCAAATAGTGGTGTACATTTGTTACCACTACTGGTTGACACGAAAAATTTTTTGTAAATGGTTCGGCACGTTTTCACCCTTAACGAGTCTCTGACTATGGAAAAACTCGTTGGGAATGAGATATCGAGTACATGATAGTCGCGCGTTTCCAACTTTCACCAAAGTCATCATATTCCTATGATTGAAAAAACAGGGTTGAAAATACCAAAATAAGAACAAGTATACTGTGAGCACTTACTGCTCCAGGAGATACGTCATATGATATCCAACTCACTTAACCTCTAATATGTATTTGTTGCTGTGTATACTTATGTTTTACAATATTCTCAATTGCATATGACTTATTATGTTCCAGATTTCTGTCCTCTATTACCTTTTCTTCTTCGTTTTAATGAAATATCATCAGCCTCTTCTCTATTATGTATGGCCATATCTACTGGTTGATTTATGTAAATCTGTAGAAACGTCCGCTTTGTATCAATCAGTTCCATTAAACTCAGCATTTACCTTTTGCTCATTTGAAATTACCAAGTCAAGTTTGTTTACTTACTTGGGAACCCGAAGTTTTTTCCATGCCATAAATTATGTTGTGGTGTTACCGCGAGAACCACCTATAACATATAAACTAAACATACAAAAGAACCACACACCAAGCGACAATTAGAATACAATACATAACTACCACAGCAACTGCAGCAACTCCTACAACTCTCTCGCACCCCCAAATTATTAAAGGGAACAACTATAATTAGAACGAACACTCTACCTTGTAAAGATTTGACGAACAGTTTGTTGGATTAGAGCATTACCGCAGCATCCTGCAGCAACCGCAGCATGAATTATCTTAGACATTATTGAATAACTGAAAGATATCAATACCCCGCTATTAAAGACATTGAATTTACCTCCCACTTTTCACTTTTAAAACTTTGCGAGTGTTGTTTTTAAAGCACTCAAGACCGAGCACGGCTCGTTTTACTTCATCCCCTGTTTATTTTCTCATTATTGAAGGCTGAATAAACGTTTTTATTAAGATCAGACGTGACATTCCTGTCCTTATTTCGTTACTTACCAATGTCAGACGTAACATTCCTGATCCTTATTATCATCCATTCAGCTTAAACAAGACAACAGCTCGTTACTATTTACAATACTAAACATCAATCACACACATTTTACCTACATTCAAATTACTTCACATCTCGTCTGTAATAAACGATGTTACTACTGGTACTCACTAGAGGGATAACAAGCACAATACAAGACAATCACTAAGAAAACGATCTCAAGAACATCCTACTTTAAGGCATTTCCGCAAAACAATCACAAGGACAAGAAGACAAATCAAGTTGCAAAAATACATGCCAGGAGCTTTTCAAACGAGCAACGTGCGAGACGAAATTACTCTGTTGGATGACAGTACACGGTCTCCATGCCCCCTCATTGGCTGACCTACAGTGGATTCGATCATGAAAGTTTCCGCACATTTCGCCGTGCATTCACTTCTTACATACTCGTCACAGGCGCTCAATCGGAGACAAGGCGACTAGAAATCTTGCAAGGAGTCTTGCAAGGACCGGCCTTGACCTATTACCAAACTCAAATCTTGCCTAAATTACAGGAAGAAAGAGATGAGAACAACTCTCCCGTCACGGTTACAGCAGCATTTGTGTAACGGTGCATACCGTTACGACGTTATCCAACCTGCATGGTTAACGATCGACAACGCATGGCTCAGACGATAGGATGACTTGCGGTAACCGCATAGTTGAATAAGGAGTAATAGGTGTGGATACTCTAAATAATAGCTCAGCGTAGATCAATACTTAGACGATAGCTAGCCCCCTATTACTCGACGTATATATAAAGCACGAGATCCTGAGTTATATGGATCCCTATCGTTTTATCCTTTGACATATTTGAGTCTCACCTTATTCTATGG